GATGGACACAAATCAAAATGGACCTTGGAAGCTGTGAAAGAAGCCCCTTGCATAGCACCAATGGCACTGTGAGCAGTGGACGATGGAGACATTTTGGGTTTGGGGCAAAACCCTCTGTTAAATGAGGTATAACCATGATCTTCAAAGCAGGCTGGTAATAACCAATATGCCGAACAGGGTAAAAAATGTCAGGTTTTGTAAAATGGGACACTGTGTACAAAGCAATAAGAGGCAATCCAATACAGAGCTATATGGTTATATATAAAGTAACACATTGCAGCGGGGGAAAGTTATGCTACCAGTGCCAGAGCTGGAACGTTATAGAGGTTTTATATGACAGAGCTGGAACATTATAGCGGTTTTATATTACAGAGCTGAAGTGTTATAAAGATTTAATATCACAGAGCTGGAACATTATAGAGCTTTCACCTTACAGAGCTGGAACTTTAGAGGTTTCACACTACAGAGCTGGAACATTATAGAGGTTTCCTATTATAGACCTGGAACTTTATAGAGGTTTCATATTACATAGCTGGACCATTATAGAGGTTTCCTAATATAGATCTGGAACTTTATAGAGGTTTCATATTACAGAGCTGGAACTTTATAGAGGTTTCATATTACAGAGCTGGAACTTTAAAGATTTCACATTACAGAGCTGGAACTTTATAGAGGTTTCCTATTATAGACCTGGAACTTTATAGAGGTTTCATATTACATAGCTGGACCATTATAGAGGTTTCCTATTACAGATCTGGAACTTTATAGAGGTTTCATATTACAGAGCTGGAACTTTATAGAGGTTTCATATTACAGAGCTGGAACTTTATAGAGGTTTCCTATTATAGACCTGGAACTTTATAGAGGTTTCATATTACAGAGCTGGAACATTATAGAGGTTTTATATTACAGAGCTGGAACGTTATAGAGGTTTTATATTATAGAGCTGGAACATTATAGAGGTTTCATATTACAGAGCTGGAAGGCTGTTGTTGTTTCAAATTACAGAGCAATAAGGTTATGTGGTTTCATATTATGGGGTTATAAGTTTACAGAGGTTTCACATTGCAGAGTGGAAGGTTGTGGTGGTTCCTAATTGCAAATCTGACCAAAGCTCCATATGTAAGAGCTCGATTGCTATGTATGATATTTCAGACTGCAGAACAGGGATGCTTTAACTATCAGATTGTAATCCAGGTCGCTATTTCACTGCAGAGTATACATCTAACCCAATATCCCAGTGCTCCTCTCTTTGCTAACTGTCATCTCCATGTTATCCCATCTTCATGCCTTTCTTCTGTGTTGTTCCATAGCCCTGTCCTTCCTGTCTGTTTCCCCTTGTTCCTGTTCTTGTCAGCTGCCCCTGTCCTTACCTGTTTGTTGCCTAATGTATGTGTCCTTCTTTATTAACCCTTCTCCTTGTTTCTTTACTGCCCCGTGCTCTTGGCCTTCTTATATGCCTTTCTCCCTTTCCATACCTTTTGTTGCCACATGCTCTTGCAATTCTTGGTTTCATCATCTCACAACACTTCTCTCTTTGTAATCCAATGCTTTTTTTTCTCATTACTTCTTGCAGCCTTGTAGTGTTCTTTTGATTGTTCTCATACATATTATTATTCTTATTATTATTCTTATTTTATTATTTATATAGCGCCAACAAATTCCGTAGCGCTGTACAATGCATAACTCTCTTTTTGCCATTTAATGACTGACCATTACCTTTATCTGTCTATCCTCCCAACTCTCCATACTTGCATCTCTATTGCCCCATCCTGTTGCATGCATTTATTTTTTTCCTCTCTGTTTTATTTTCTTTGCACTTTTCTTTGTGCTGGTTTTCTCTGTCAGATCCTGACTTTTTGACTATTTCATCTGTTTTCCTCTTGTCTCCCATCTAATTGTTATTCTCTTTGTATCCATATGCTTCCCTTTCATCTTCTTCTGTATCCTAAGCACTCTCTGACCCATTGCTATCTCTTCTCAACTTGCGTTTTTTTTATCAGTCTTGGTGTTGCCCTTTGGGCTGGATGCTCTTAGCAGACAGTCCTAGGCTCTTATCAGTCTTACATACTTAATATCCTGCATGTCCATGTCCTTTTCTTTTTCATTGTGCTTTCCCATTTCCCTACCATTACCTCTTCTAACATCATTTCTTTAATGATCATTCATCCTTTCCATCCTAGAGTTTGTAGTATTCTGCAGGCTTTTGTTGGGGTGTAGGTTTTGCAGTCCTCTGCAGGTCTCCTAGTGGTATAAAGTATACGATGTACAAATTGCATTTGTTGGCAATAAGGTATTCCGTGTTCTGCTAATCTCTGTTAGAAATGTTATAGGTGGTGCTCTGCAATTCCGTTAGTGGACACGTTTTTTTTAATATAGGGATATAGAATACAGTGCTCTGCAGATAAGGTACTGTGTGCTCAGGCAATTCTGTTAGAGGATAAAAGGGATAGATTGATGATGGATATATGATGGATTGAGCTGTGCTCCACTAATATTTTTTAAGAAAGATAATTAGTCAGTGTTACATTATAGAGTTTGCAGTTCTTTTTGTTTTGTTAGGAAATAGGATTTGCAGTGCTTACATTTGTCACCATTAGGGGAACAGTGCATTCAGTACTCTGCTGTTATGGGACAATGTATGGAATGCTCTGCAGTTCTCTATTAAAGAATACGTTATACCATGCTAAGGAGGTCACTTTTAGGGGACAAAGTTTACACTGCTCTGCAGCTTTAAAATGTGTACACCTCTGTTTCTAAATCAGCTGACTACGGGATCATTCTGTTCTTTACGTTGCTAGTTATGGATAATAAATCATTTCATAACTAGTTCACATGGGAAACTCAACATGTCACAGATTGAATATATGCTTTATTAAGTCATTTATAAAAGATGGTGAATCAGCTGTGATATATATTTGCAAGGGAATTGCCTATTGCAAGGTTGAAATATCATCAAGCCATTTTACCATACAAAGGAATCGACTCGGTGTGACCCTAGAATACATTAATTCTGTGAATCTACCAATTCACCGTGAGAATCTGCACTTCCACCCTAAATGTGCCTATTTATCATGAGAATCTGCACATCCACCCTGAGAATGTTCCCATTCATCCTGAAAGTCTGCCCATTCACTCTGAGAGTATGCCCATTCATCCAAAAATGTTTTTACAAGTTGTTAGAAATGCACACACAGACATGGGAAGTAGTTTCCAACTTAGTGCTCCAGGAGGGGAAGACAAAACCCCCAAATCACACTGGAATGTTCAAAAGAAGTCCAGTCATAACCAATATAGGCAGTCTTTATTCAGGAACCAGGAATTAAATATATGAGGAAACTAGTGGGTGTGCATTGGGTTCTTTTGAACATTCCATTCTTCCAAAAAGTCTGCTTATTCACCCTGACAATCTGTCAAATCACCCCAAGAGTCTACCTATTCACCCTGTGATTCTGCCAATTCACATCACCAGTCTACCCATTAATCCTGAGAATCTGTCAGTTCACATCACTAGTCTATCCATTCGCTGTGAGAGTTTGTCCAATGCTATGAAAGTATGGCCTCATTTATTATGAAAACCTGTCCATTCCCTTGGAGAACCTGAGAATTCATCGAAAGAATCAGCCATTTCATCCAGAGATCTGAATTCTGAGACCCAACATCAAGTCTTTAGACTTGACTAGACCTCTATGGTATGACTAGACCTCTATGGTATGACTAGACCTCTGCCAGGTAGTGACCTGGTGCTCTGTGTCCCATGTAAGGTCTAGGGATTCTCTATGTGCTATAAAAGTAGTTTTGTCTTGGTTTTCCCTATATACACTGTAAGACAGAGGAATCCAACAAAGTACTGGTTGATCTTACACCAATAGTCACTGGAAGAGAATGGGTGGGTGGGGCTTGTGTGGACATGTGACTGAGCACCCAGACACCTGTAATATTTTGTAACTGAACAAGAAGTGAATATTTTATCTGTCCTATAGCAATCTAGGAATTACATGATATGATGTCATCTTTGTCGTGTGTCTCATTTTTTCTTAACTCACTTTACCTAAAGATGGTAGAAGTTGGTCTTACTGAATTGGAGGTTACATTGTTTGAACATCTAAACGGTCACTTCAAACACCTCGACCACTTCAATGATTTGTAATTGTCATGTTGCCTGGAGTCTGCATGTGCAGTGTTACGCTTTAAACACTGCACATATAGAGTTTAACCCCTCTGCTTCTGAAGGTGTAACTCCATCCCTGGCAATGTCATTAGGATGTCATCAGCCAGCCCAGAACTGTAGTTCCCGCTGGCTAACGTTATTTCTGACAACATTCTTTGCACAGAATGTCAGTCACTGGCTGAGAACAGAGCTTCTGTGGCTCTGCAGAAGACAGAAGCACATCACCAGACCACCAGTGAGCATTGGAGCCTGGTGTGTACCCAGGGAAGGGGGCACACTGTTGCTAAACAATTGACCTCATTACCAAGGAACTGGGCTAGGGTATTCCTGGCCACATAACCACTACAGCAGGCTCTAGTGATGCTTCGAGTAACTCTTTAATGGATGCTCTTCATTCACAGCAAAGAAATATATTTATAGTGTTTTGTTTATTTCACAATTTAAAAATAAAAATATGTATATATTGTGGTAGAATGATTTTCTTTTTAAGGTCTTTGCACTAAACAGTGAATTTGGTTGAATTGTCAAAAAAATTGTAAAAATACATCCTATGTCACCTACTAAATCTTTAAACTCACTTTCTTATTCACTGTTTAGTGATTAACCACAAGTCTTAAAATGAATCAGTCTCTTTTATCCATTTTTGTATTACACAACATTACAAATTATGCAGACTCCAGAAGATGACAGAACCACCTTCTGTTTCAACAGTGTCAGAGAATGTTTAAAACCTTGCTGATACAATATCTATAAGATATTACTAGGTCTATTTTTTCTATCAGCTACTCAAGTGTTAGAAAGTTTTTAAAAGCCCCATCAATGTTACTTCCACAACATGAATTATTGTCTTTATATTCCGTATCTAGGATAAAAAAAATCAGGACCTCTTACAACCCTCTAGCATTTTAGATTAAAAATGTAAAGACTCTACTATAGGGAACTTGCTGTCAATTAGTTTTCCTGAGCTGAGTTTTTATTTAATCAAAAGACTATAAAGATGATAATATGAATAATTGTAATTGCTATATCCTAGCAACCCTTAGGGTTACAGTAGAAAATTATCAAAATATGTTTATTTAACTTGGAAACCATTCATTAATATTCAAGATTCAAACTGCAAATTAGGATTAATGATGTTAAAGCAAGTAACAAAATAATAGCAAATTCCATATTTTATTAGGCAAGTCTTGTATACAAAATTCATCGTGCCTTTATTTCAAACATAGTTTTTATTTTTTTTAACTCTTACTATACTGGGCTGATTTACCTAGTGATCACTGCAGTGGTAATGGTACAGAGATTATTTTTTGTCCAATCCTTGCTTCGCGTCATACAAGACTGAATGCAAGAGGTGTATATTATTTAACGTCTGCCGCCTACCTTTAATTCTACAGGATAATTGTCAAGACTGCATGAAGCGATAAATCATCAAAGAGAGGGGCAACTAGGAGCCGGACTGTAAGCCATTATTTCACATTATATTAGTTACAGTTGCCTCTCCACCATTCCCTGTTGCCACACCACTAGTCAAGTGTATATTTTCAATGGATTATTACATAATGATAGTTGCTAGGACTAGGGAAAAATAGCCATGTTGGCAAAAAAACTTCAGCTAGAAAGTTTTTACCTAAATTATACATCTTAGTCATCCTCAGAGGAATACCCCAATCCCTAACTCACTTCACCAAGTGCTTCAGTGGTTAACATAATGATGTTATTTATATAAAGAAAACTATAAACACCTTTGGTAATACCTCCCAGCTGGGATGCTTGCCATCCTCACTAGCTTTGAGTACTTGCTCAAAGCTAGTAGTAGAAGCTACGGCTCTTAACAGAGAACCACTGCATTACATGCTTCTCTATGAGAAGCATTTTTGGCCGCACACAGCAATTTCTGCGCATGTGCCCTGTGTTCCAGTGCTTCTCTATGACGTGAGGATCTCTAGGGGAAAGAGCAGAGCTATGGCAAGAAGACAATCTCACCATTGGATTGCAGATAAGCAACATTTTATTTTAGAACACAGTGGGGTCTCTACATCTAAAATACAAAAAGTATGCTACATGATAAATAAATGTATTTAGTTCTAATGTTAAAGTGTTTCTTTAACCAATCTCTCCTCTTAGTCTTGCCTGGAATGGAGAATATGTAGCTAACATATATCTGTAACTAAGTCTCAAATCACAATAAGAATAGAGTGGATTACCTTACTTAGTGGGAGTGACATTACTAATTACATCAATAACTCATATTTTATAATAGATGACAGTGCAAGTGCCCAAAATGTATAAAATAATAACATTCATGTTTGCTATGTTTTGCATTTAGTTTAATCAAACCAAATATCACATCATAATAAAATGTTACACTTTTACTTCCAGGATGAGTTATAAGGCACTCGGGATGACTCTTTGAAGGAGTTTACTATGCTATGTGGGAACAGAAGAAAAAAAAACTGTTGTACAAGTTCATATAGATGTGGTAGCTTTATCAGGCTAAGCCTGATAGGAAAATCTTGGGGTTCATTTGAGGATTTTTTTACACAAATAACCAATGTGAGAGGATTAATGAGAGAGGTCAAGTGATTTCATAACATTTCTACCCAATTCATGGCAAAAGGCTGATACAACGTGTCTTGCTTTGTTTTGTCTTATTCCATAGTATTTTGCAATTAAAGGTTGATGTAGGACTATTTTGGAATATTTTATAAAAGTAACTGGAGTGATTTTCTCATCTCTAATTGTTACATGATCTGCTGCTCAGCTGTGATAAAAGGAGGTATTATGGAAAAGCAGTAACTTAACACAATGAGGGAATGTTTGGACAAAGGTTGCAGATCAAATTCCGGACATTTCCCGAATGGTGCTATCCAGACTGAGTCGGGGGCGTAAACCATTTTTCTGCATTATTTTTTCCATTTGTGGCTGTGTCATTTCACGCAGGCGCTAAGACACAAAGGAACATTAAAGTGAGACTTGCATGAATAAAATAAAAATCTAGGTTCACAAAAATCTAATACAGAAACCACTTTACTCTACTAAACAACAGACTTGTGCAAGTCCGGAAAAATGTAAATGAAAACAAATTTGGTTTGGCCGAAATTCATTTTGTCCATTAGTCAATTTGTTTTGAATGAAATCGGTTTGATATTTGCTTTTCCGAATTTCCTTTAAGACTTTCATTGGTTTTGAAATAGACAAGTCCCTAATATGGTACCATTATGTAAAATTGCCATATTTAAGGGTGCCAAATTAGGGATGGAGCTGTGTTTAGTAAATAGCTCCATATTTTAGTATCCAAATATATGGCAATCCAACTTAATTGTGAAGCTATCTAATAAGCACCTGAAAGATCAAACTTAAGAAAATGGCTTTTCTTAATTTTGCTCTTTTGACGTTTTAGTTGATAACTCTTTAAATTAAATTCGTACCCTTATGTGGGATTGCCATATTTAAGGGTACCAAATTATGGAGCTGTTTAATAGATAGCTGTCTATATTGGTATCCTTAAATATGGCAATCCTCCATAAGGATACCAAATTATGGAGCTATCTACTAAGCAGCTGAAATATCAAAATATGTAAAAGCTATTTTCTTAATATTGGCCTTTCAGCTATTTAGTAGATAGCTCCATAACTTGGTACACATATTTGGGATTAAAATATTTAAAGGTACCAAATCAGGGAGCTGTTGACCAAACACATTTTGTTGTGGTAGAATGAACTAATGAACATATCAAATGAAATTTTGTTTTCAAATTCATTCATTAGTTCATTCTTCCATTGTGCCATTAGGAATTTGGACGAAATAGCAAATTTTTGTCCGAATTGTGATTCTTCCAAAATCAATGCCTAAATCTAGTAAATGATAACAAACCAATACAGTTTTTTGATCAAATTAATTTAGCTGGTAAACTTGATTACATTAAGAAAAGCTAAATTTTTGTACATTTGTAATTTAAAAACATATTTTTATATCAGTCACAAAATTATTTTAACAATCTAATTTCAAATGCTTGATATGTTGAAGGAGTGCAGTGCATTGTGGTTGCAAAGTCAATTGCAATACCCAACCTGGAGCATTTAATTTATTGGATATAAAATACAGCCATTGGTACCTGGCTCACGTTGCCCGAGGAGGTGAGGAATAAATACAGCATGTACCCAGGGATCAATACCATAGAAGAGAGAGCCATCAGCCAACCTATACCCTGACCCCATGCTGGATACACATATCTACCAAGGGTGAGGGGGGTCATCTCCACCACACTAAAAATAAAAACACTCTGCAAAACAAGAGACAGATGTTAACATATAAATAGAACAGATAGGAGGAATTAAGGAATTCTTGGGAATCAGGGATTATAGTGGACAATATGGTGAAGTAGATGAGTGTGTATAGAAAACAATAGGTAATGTTATAAGTGCAAGATGTGTATAGAGAAGTAATATGGTTTTGTTATAGAAAATGTATTTTACTGAGCACATCAGTAGGAGATTAAGGGGAGTAAAGTAGAGCCTGAGGAAATTCCTGATTATTTAGGGACTAAATCAAAATGTACATATCGGAAATATAATCAGCAAAATATAGACCACAGTCTCTATCCTTCAGTTCACAATTTATTTTTAAATGAACATGAAGCATTTGTTTTCTTCAAATTAATTAGCAACATGCTCTCAATATTTACATAGGTATATGAAGAAAGAATTACAGCAGCAATTACGCTAAGCAACGGGAAAGCAACTGCTTAACATGAAACTTTTATTACAAAAATTAGTTTTAAAAGTAGGGCTGATTACATTCCATCATTCCATTGTGCAGGGACACCCATGGATGGTCCTGGTTAGTTGCAAATTTTTATATTCTTATTTAAACTATAATTCCTGAATAGGTATAAAATTTATCAACACAAGTTGTAGGCAGTTTTTAAAGGTTTTAGATTTACTAAAAAACATTTCTGATAACAGAGCTGCTTTAAAACCATTACTACTACAGTGCGCCGCTAATGAAAGTCTGCTTGTGGTCCATCAGGGGCCACTCTCATACATAGGCGTGCGCACGGGTTGTGCCGGGTGTGCCTGGGCACACCCTAATCTCCGCGGCACGCCTATTTATTGAGACCGGCAGGGGAGATCCTGAGATCCGAGCGCCGGCTCTGCTCTCAGCCTCCCTCCCCACTGCAGCATGGAGGGAGGCAGGTGAGGACCCGGGGAGCTCAACCAGCAGCTCCGCCGGGTTCATCTGAGGAGGTCAGAGCGTTGCCGCGGCAATGCTCAAATCTCGCGAGAGTGAACTCTAGCCCCACAGGAGCTAGAGTTCACTCTCCACTGGACCACCAGGGGAAGCAGCAGCACGATCCCCCGTCCCTACAAAAGGTAAGAAGGGAGGGGGGATATTAAGTACAGCACACACAGACAACCCACACACATACAGCACCTTCACACATACAGCACCCACACACAGCACACACACACACAGTACCCTCACACACATACACCACACACATACACCACACACAGCACTCACACACATACAGCACCCACACACACACAGCACCCTGGCACATACAGCACCCACACACACACAGCACCCTCGCACATACAGCACCCACACACATACAGCACCCTCGCACATACAGCACCCACACACATACAGCACCCTCAAACACACAGCACCCTCTCACACACAGCACAGAAACAGCACCCTCACAAACACACACACAGCACCAGCACACTAACAGGACCCTAACAAACACACACAAACACCCTCACACACACATCACACTAACAGCACCCTCACACACACACACACATACACAGCACCCTTACACACACACAACACCCTCAAACCACCCTCATGCAGCACACACACACACACACACAGCAGGGTATGTATGTGTGTGTGTGTGTGTGTGTGTGTATATATATATATATATATATACACACACACATACATATACACGCGGCGTGTGTTTGTGCTTTAGGGTGCACACCCTAATGCAATAGGCTGCGCACGCCTATGCTCTAATCGCATAATGAGAGTCAGAAGCTCTCTGTCTGAGCTAAGCCTGGCAATGGAGGATTCAGCAAATTGGCTGAGAGTTATCAGTTGAACTGCA